GGCTGTCTGTCTGTCTGTCTGTCTGTCTGTCTGTCTGTCTGTCCGTCTGTCTGTCTGTCTACCTGCCTGTCTGCCTGCATGCCTGCCTGCCTGCCATCCATCCATCCATTCACCTATATCAGGAGTATATCATCTCGAAGGAGTTTTACCCGTGTTTTCCCGTGTTTTTACCGATTTCCCACTCCCCATTTTGGCATACATAAAAATAAAAACGTATATGCTCTCGAGCTTATTTCATACCTTTATTATTCGCCTTTATTATCTTATACTTAAATCGGTTTATAGATAAGCTATAAGCTGCCCACTGTTTACTCCTGTCCATATGTATATATATATATATATATATATACATAGATGCCCACAGGTCTATACCTTGTCTAGAGCATCCTGGACAATGCGTTCGCTGGTGGCATCCAGTGCCGATGTGGCTTCATCCAGTAGCAGGATGCGCGGGTTTCTCACAAGCGCTCGAGCGATCGCAATTCGCTGCTTCTGCCCGCCGCTCAGCTGCGCTCCTCGATCGCCAACCAGCGTTTCGTAGCCCTGCGATAGAAGGTCGGTCTCTCCATGAGGGACAACACGCAGAGTGAGGAAACTATGTGTGTCGCGAATTGCAGACTGGAATCGTGGCTTTTAACGTGGGATCGCGAGAGTATTGAGGAGAGAGATCGATTATGGCAGCATTGGTTCACGAATCTCAGAAATGAATCATTGCTTCCAGACCGAAGGGGGTCATAAGTATCAGAGTTGAATCTTATGGCATAGAGTAGACGACACGATTCAAGGTATACCTCGAATTATTATGTGGATAACCTGTATTACAGTAAACTTAAAAGAATCTTGCTAAAAAAACACATAGCAGCAATGCAAACGCAAATTCATTGCGATAACTCTGCACTATAAGGTCTAATGCTCTACCAAGCTACCTGTGGAAGGTGCCTGATGAAGTTGTGTGCATTGGCCTGCCTTGTAGCCTCAATCATCTCTGCCTCAGTAATGTCTTCCCGGCCATATCGGATGTTTTGCGCGATGGAGCAACCAAACAGGACCGGCTCTTGACTGACAACCCCGATCTGGTTGCGCAGCCACAGAAGGTTCAAGTCCGTGATCACCTCACCGTCCAAGTGGATCTGCAACAACACAGCATATTATTAATATATAATACATATGTTATAGACGTTGTTATATATTACATATATAGTTATCATCATATCCTAACCTTCATCTCCTAGGATATCACTAATTGGCATAATATTGATGTTGTACTGAGTTTAAGGCTGAAACTGATGGCTATGCAAATGCTGTGCTATCAGTGTGCCTCTTATAATATAGTTACCCGCATACTTTATAATTTTTTCAGGGGATGGCCGACTAGATGACCGTATATGGTCTTTTCGTCATCCCTTCGCTGTATTGTTTATTATTCACTTCGTTAAAATTCTTGTACTTAATTACCAATATTAAATTTTGAAAGCGATAAATAAAACTGTTACATCTTATATATACTGTTATATCTTATAATAGATGGCACTGGTTGTATGCAGAATGTAATGTAAATCACCTCTCCATTGCAGGGGTCATAGAACCTCAGCAACAGATTTACAACCGTCGACTTTCCTGATCCACTGGATCCAACTAGTGCCACTGTCTTTCCAGGCTCAACCGTCATCGAAAAGTTTTGGAGCACCTGAGGATTAACGTACACAATTTTTTTGCATTCGCCTCCCTAATTGGTTGCCGTCTCTAAGCTGCGGAGTCAACGATGACAAGAAGAAGAAAAGAAATGCAAATTTTCTTCCAAGATGCACAATTCCTCATATGGCATGTACATATATCGTTTCACGCTTCACTCTAGTCCGTGTTTCCGCACCTGCACATTAGAATAACGACAATAACCTTTTACGCAGCGCCTGTAGCTCAATGCGTGATCATTTATAGATGAGAACATCAAGGATAAAAACCTACACTGCCACAAAGAATTCTCATTCGTATTCCTCATCTGTAAACTCTATTAGACACAATAGACCTTTTGATTCATAGAATTGCTTACCACAACTTCGGGTCTCGTGGGATAGCTGAAATTGACATTTCTAAACTCGATGAGGCCTGCGACGTTTCGAGGCAATTTCCCTCGGATGGAATAAGCATCGATCTCTGGTTCCTGCAAAAGCATGTGTACAGGCAACCAGCAGTTATCATTTACATTAATCTTCTCTTGACGTTCGCCCACCACGCACGCTTAAACATGTGCACACATTAGCACTGCCTTATCAGTTCAATGAATGTACTCGAAAGAAATACTCAGGTTGCCATGGACAGAAGTGCTAGCCGGTCCAAAGGTCAAACATAGTTACGAACCGGATAAATAATATAGTTCAAACTTCAGTGACAAAATTTTCCTCATTGGTTATCATTAGAATAATCATGTAGCTATAAATCATAAGGCAATCAACCTTGGACTGACTAACTCACCGACTCACTACGACTGAAACGTGCAGAATATAAAGTAGATTTGAACATGTATTAGTATTACTCTGTCTATGATATTGTAGATAGTTGCTGCTGCTCCTTTTGCTGTGGCTACTGTACTCATGTGAGGGGCCGCATTACCAAGTGAAAACGAACCGACCATCACAGCAAAGAACACCTGCAACAACACAGATATAGTTCGTGTTATACGATACACATGCCCATGTGATTTGGATCTCACTGTTGAATACCTGTGAATAAAGTGTTTTTGCTTCATATTTTTCTAGCTTTTGCTATGGTTTGCAGCACACTTACAGGCTGCTACCAGCATTTTATACACACCGTGAACACATCTCCTGGTGAAATTTTCCCAGACACGATCATCTTGGAACCATACCTGCAAGCAGAAACACCAGAACATCTTGAGAGATCAGCCTGGGATACGTAGTCCTAACACAAGCCCGGCTTTCGTTACGATGCCCCTATATTTCTCCCGCCAATACGCGAAGGGCAGCGATAAATGCATTACAGAGAATTCAAGCTTGGAATGAGTAACGACTGCATCCGATCTAATGCATTACGACTGATGCAGACACGTTTTTGTCGATGATAGATAAACGTACCAGAAGGCGAGGGCGTAGCTGCTGAAAATGACGACCATTGTGATAAGCATGGCTGCTCCAGACAGGTAGCTCTTCCTGATGCCCAGTTGCTTGCCCTCGGTCAACGCACCATCGTACCTTCGGCAAGAGAACAACTGATTACCTAGAACAAGCATGCTAGGTCCACCGGCGGTGGGCAGTCAGTTGTTCCCACCCCCCTGGTGGGCAGTCAGTTGTTCACACCCCCCTGGTGGGCAGTCAGTTGTTCACACCACCTGGTGGGCAGACAGTTGTTCACACCCCCCTGGTGGGCAGTCAGTTGTTCACAACCCCTGGTGGGCAGACAGTTGTTCACACCCCCTGGTGGGCAGTCAGTTGTTCACAACCCCTGGTGGGCAGACAGTTGTTCCCACCCCCCTGGTGGGCAGTCAGTTGTTCACACCCCCCTGGTGGGCAGTCAGTTGTTCACACCACCTGGTGGGCAGACAGTTGTTCACACCCCCTGGTGGGCAGACAGTTGTTCACACCACCTGGTGGGCAGTCAGTTGTTCACACCCCCCTGGTGGGCAGTCAGTTGTTCACACCACCTGGTGGGCAGTTAGCAGACAGTTGTTCACACACCCTGGTGGAATGTGAGGTGTTTGTAGTTCTCTAGTGGGCAGTCAGTTTTGACCGGTCTCTGGCAGATAATCAGTTTTGAGCCGCCCTTTAGCGGATGGTCAGTTATTTGCCGTTTGTCACCCTGAGTACCTGGTTAAGCAGTTAGCCTTCTGGCCTTGGAACTTTGCAATGCAAGGTTTCTACCCTTGCTCTTTTACTTCCGCCCTTCCTTCTCTACCTCCTTTCTCCTCGTCTATCTTCCTGCCTACAAATTTTGCCCCCTACCATCCTTCAAATCCTAGCTGCCTCTTCCCTACCTTGTCCCTCATCCTCCACTTTCTCCCCTCATCTACTTACTCTGTCTCCATCATCGCTTACTTGACGTTTGGCCAAACGTGTGGCATTAGAATTGCATAACTTTAACCCTATATACACCACAGGATGTAGTGCAATTCGTGATACTCCCATTGAATCAGTGTAATATGGGTGAGACATGAAATTCTGGAAAGGCACATTTCAATTGTGTATCAGAAATTAATGGTAATGAATTCAACACTGACTTTAGAACTCCCCTCTTCCTTCTCCACCACTCCCACATGCAGTTTGATTCACATACAGTCATTGAGTCAGATGGGCATTGTTGATTTGCAGTGTACTTGTTTAACAGGTGTATACACGTTTTTCATATAAATATTACTTTTCCAGGAATTTAAAATAACGTGACAACTTAAAAATTTACACATTTACTTTGGCTGATGGGGTCTATGTCCCCCAGGGTACTGCCGGAACGTACCCTGGGTACGGTCCGGCAGGGCCCTCGCTACCCACTCGCCAATTCGCCAATGGCGAACAAATTAGTAATCTGGCGATTGAAAGTCTTATTTGGCGAAAAAAGTGACGAACGTAATTTTCCCGTAATAAACATGACCCAGCAAACATCGATCCTATTTGATCGTCGAAACAGCAACGTTTCTTTTTGCGTGCCGGCACATTCCCGGCGGCGGCGGTTTCATTCCCGATTGCGGGAAAGTTTTGCTGTCGCTCCCTCATACCAGCGCGGTGCCCACCCCTAGATATACAGCAATAACCACACACACGCGACTGTAACAATCAGTGCATTCGCCCCCCCCCACCCCCACCCCCGTACTTCAATCAATGCCGCCCAGCCAGCAAGCACGAGCCATGATGTGCACAGCCACAGACGTGAGTAACAGGGGTGCCGCGGGCTGCTTTTTTCGTTTTTTTTTCTTTGGCGTGAATGCGTGAGAATGCGTAGAGCATGCGGGAGCGCGGGAGAATGGGTGCAGATCTATGCGTGAGTCTCCCACGAAATG